CTTAGTCTCTTAGTCCCTTAGTCCCTTAGTCCCTTAGTCCCTTAGTCCCTTAGTCTCTTAGTCTCTTAGTCTCTTAGTCTCTTAGTCTCTTAGTCCCTTCGTCCCTTAGTCTCTTAGTCTCTTAGTCTCTTAGTCTCTTAGCCTCTTAGTCTCTTAGTCTCTTAGTCTCTTGGTCTCTTGGTCTCTTGGTCTCTTGGTCTCTTAGTCTCTTAGTCTCTTGGTCTCTTAGTCTCTTAGTCTCTTCTGCCCTAGACTGACAGAAAGGCATGAAAAGGTGCGGACTGCACGGATCCTTGCCTTAGAGACCTATCAGAGTTGCGTTTTACTCACTTGTTTATCTTCGTACAGTTTCCACCGATTTCGATCGGTGTTTTCCTCTCTGTTACTTACCAAGAACATACAGAGAAATATAAAAGAGCAGAAGTATAAAATGGCGCCGACTGTAGTGCCACAAGTTGAGCCATATTTTTCCGTGTCCACTTGAGGATCACACTTAGCATCATCATAACACGCCCGCATGATTTTATGCCAGTCTTCCCCGGTCGCCGATCTGCCACAACAAAAGGAAATAAGCGTTAAAAAAGCTAGCCTACGATGCTTAAACAAACGGAAGAATTGAACACGTAGCGAGCTCACAAAGGGAAGGACATGCCTTCTTTGAACGCTCGTCTGACATCAGCTGGTCACTAACGATAGCGGATGCCGTAATGATCCAACAAATTTAAGTTACTCACTTCATTTTTTTCTTAGGATAGCAGTCATGATTTTATTTCTCACCTGAACAGAACTTGCAAAGCCTCAAGAAGGTTTCGAAAGTGATTATTAGCGTTGATTTCCCCATCTTCGTCTAGCTCGATTTTCCCAAAAAGCTGTAAAAGAAAGGATTAATTGAAAGTTTCAAAGTAATCAGACTTGCTCTTCAAATAATAACAAAAACGGAGCAAAAGTTTCTTTGAAATTTTGTTTTCTTTTTTCATATACCTTTACTTTTCACTGAATACTCTCTAATTGGCAATAGAAAACACTTTTAAGCAAGAACGGTAAAATCCAGGTTCACTTTTAATCTTGGATAATCACTATTTAAACAGCTTTCAATACTACGTTTTAAGCTTAAGCTTTTCTCAAACTCATTAATAGTTCATCAAGTTTACACAAAGTGATCTTAATTAGCATACATTTTCACGATCTGTTTTCTCCATTTTCTCCTTAATTTTAGGATCTATCGAGAAGATGCATCAAACACTCAAAACAGTGTTTGATCACATTTCCAAACACCTCGAGGTACGTAAAAATACTCCGTTACCCGTCGTATTTTCAACTGCCTTCACAGTGTTTGGAAATGTGGTGAAAAACGATCTTTCGTGTTTGATGTAATATATCAGACACGAGAGACAGTGTTTCATCGGGATATCCAAACACCGAGAAGAGAGTTGAAAATACGACGCGCAGCGGAGAATTGTTTGAAATATCTTCTCAATCAAAACAAAAACCAAGGAGAAAACAGAGAAGTAAAATCGTCAAAATCTATGCTAATTAAGACCGGGTGTTCAAACCTCCTTCACGGTTGTGCTTTTCTTTGCTTTAACTTGACGAATTATTAATGACTTTGAGAAATACTACGTCAAAGCAACTAGAAAACACGCGGCACAAGCAATGAATGATGAAGACTCCAGCTCACCTGCATCCCTATGACGGCATACATGAAGAACATCAACATAATCAGAAGCGTGACGTAAGGAAGAGCCTGTTGGCAAAGATACAAGAAACTCAGTTTGAACCAGCCAGTTTTGTAATAATCATAATCATAATCATAATCATATCTATAACAAAATTCTCGATCGTGATTGTTCTCCGCGTACCTATTTGTCACGTTATCGGCGCGCGATCACGTGGGTGTCCGATTACAGGTGTCCAATTTGAACTTTTCGCAACTGGATACCTGTCAATGGATACCCACGTGATTTGCACGTCAATTACGCACGTTTTAATGGCTTCCTTCGCACTGCTCCAACAGTTTTCAAAAGTTATGAAAAGCGTTACAGACGTTTTCGCTCAAAAGAACTTCCCAAAAGACTTTTTTTTGAGCCGCTTTTTGACTGACTCGTCGGGGCTTAAAGCATTTTCCTTGACTTTAACTTGTTTGTCCGGGAACTTTTAAAAAGCGTTGCTAAACCAGTCTAAGCAGGAAAGTAGACATATCATTAAACAAAAGTGACATTTAAGTAAATTGAAGTGCTACAAGGGAAGATCAAGACTGAATTGAACCTGCTAAGGGAATGAAACAAATTCTTAAAAGTTGGCGGTAATATTTGAACCTGCACCCTTCGGTAATCTTTTCACATTAATCGCCAGCTTTTGTATAAATTGTCAACTTTGAAATGCCTACAAAGCGCATTACTCCCTTCAATATATCTACTTGTATATGTACCCTAATATATCTACCTTAGTACAAACAACACTAAATTAATAAAGACCTTAAAAGATTGAAGAAATGTCCACAAGAGTATTCTGATTGTGTAGCCTCGTCGAAGAAGTTTGATAAGTCTTGCCGCACGAAATAAACGAAACATGCTGGGATCAATTCCAATGCCGAGCGTGTTATCTCCCCCCTGTGAAAACAGTCAAGATATCAGCCTAAAATGACCACATAAATAAATAATAGCCTCGATTTGGCGCGGAAGTATGCTCGGATATTTGTCCATGAGCTCTAAGGAACAGATAATGTCTAGGAACAAATATCCAAGCAAATTTACAATGTCAAATGGAGGCTATTGTGTTTATTTTCCTTCAAATATTTTTCGCAACACGCGCGGTTTTGAAAATTGGGGAATATATAAACAATAGCCTCCATTTGGCGCGAAAATATGCTAGGATATTTGTCCGCGGACATTATCTGTTCCGAGAAGCGAACAGTTTTCCGAGAACGTAGCTCGAGGAAAATTGTGAGCTTCTCGGAACAGATAATATCCAAGTACAAATATCCGAGCATATTTTCGCCCCAAATGGAGGCTATTGTGTTTATTATTCTTCAAATCTTTTTCGGAACGCCGCGGTTTTGAAAATTGGGGGATATTCTCGGATATTCCCCAGTTTTAGCTGGGAAATATTCGGTCACGTGACGTGTTTAGACCAATCGCGCGCGAACGAAAATATTTGGATTATAACCAGGGATAGATGTAAGGATCATAGGATGAAAGGTCGCTGGAACATACCCGGGCTTGAATTCTTAACTTCGAAGCTGGAATAAACTAACGTCGCAATACACTGAGTGGCACCAGACCTCACGCGCAATATTTTCCTCTCTGGCTGGGATGCAGACATAACCTTTTTCACTAGCTGTCCCAGGTGCGATACAACATTTCCATTAAAAAACATATTCCATGGTCTACCCTCTGACCACATAGACAAGTATGTAGAGAACTTGCGGCAGGGTCCAGCACATTCATTGACATTGAGGAGAATAACTGTTTTAGTGTATACCACACAAGCTGAATAACTAGCAGACCAAAAAATTACTTTTCTTCCGAAATCTCTGCTCGGAGGTGAATAGCACTTTGCTAGTCACCTCCGAGTTAACCAATCAAAACACGTGAAAAGCACTATTCACTTCTTTGGTATATAATTATCAGAGCGGGGGGGGGGGGGGGGGGGG